TAAGATGCCCGGAAGCATTTCTGTGATCGGTTTAGCCTCTGCATGACCAGTAATTGCAAAAGTGTTGGCAGAGAGGGAAGCTTGAACCTTGGGGTTGTTGAAGTGAATAACTGTTCCATCGTCTTTTATCATGTTCACCTGTTTAAATATATTAATAATATTTATCAAAGTGTAGCAGCATCTTGTTACATAAGCATAATAACTAAAATCTAGATTTGAAATATCAAACTAGCATTCTTCCTAAAAGATAACATAACCATGATGAAAGCACCTGGAATTAACACCATCTAAATTCAAAACTTAACAGCCTGTCACATGAGGTTAAGCCATTGCCTTTCACAGGTACCTGTGTCACCTACCAGGAAAATGTTCCTGCTTCTGCCCAGCTGGCAAAAGCACAGGACTCACACTGGCTCAAGGAAGGGATGCACACACAGCACTGGGGGATTATGCACCAACTGCACTAGAACAGACTCCCCAAACCTTCCCAATAATTCCAAGAGGGCTCTTAAGACTAAAGACACTACAAAGTGACCCTGTTCTCTTCCTCTTCCCTAGCCTTCTGAATCACCAAGAATTCTATTTTACAGCCAGTGTAGTGGCTTGCTTTAGAAAGTTGAAAAGCTTTTTCTTCGGGGCATGGCTAAACTATTATACGAAAAATAACTCTGTCTGACTGTAGGAAGAGAGTTCTACCCATCCAACACAACAGTGGTATTAAACTTATGTGAAAAAACTACTAAGCAATTTTTAAAGTTACAGGGAGAAAGGACAGATTCAGAACTAAAGATGAGATCTAAAATACAAGAACATTTAAGTTCTCAATCCTCACATGGCAGAGTTCCAAATATGTTTTGAACAGGAAATCCAGGTGTGTTGCTTTCCTGCAAAACTAAGCAATGTCCTGTCCTTTGCCCATGGGGAAGCTAAAGGCTTCAAGCACAGTCATCCTGTTACTTAAAAGCCTCTTTCAAAATGACACAAATGTGTTACTCATGCTTGACTCAACATTACTCTATCTGCACGAAGCTTACCAAGGTCAACTTGCGTTCACTTGAATAAAACATTCCACAATGATGTCTCTTGCTAGGTAGAAACATTTTGCATCATCTTCCTACACGCTGAGATATTTAAAATCCTTAATAACTGTGTCTGAATAAAGATTCTGTACTCTGTGCAGGAAAAAAGCCCTGAACACACACTAAGAAGAAACCTATCTTCTTTTAGTTCATAGAGCTCCGCATATTTGTATTAAGCTTAAGAAAACAGACAAACTGAACTGATTCTGTAACAGGGGTCTGAGAACTTAGAGGCAAACTGCACCAAATCTGCATTTGCCTTTGGAAGAAAAGAATGCACTTAGTGACTTCTGCATGCACCTTGCAATCCTGCTTCAATTAATCACAGATTGAATACTGCACTTCTTAAAGTAACTAGTACAAGTACTACAGCCACACTGAATTAATGATGGAGAAACCTCCTCCTCCTCTCATGTATGAGGGTCACTCTCTACACTGTTATGGAAAACATGTTTTATTAATACATGTAAATTAGAGGTATTCAAGGAACATCTGAAACCTTCACATTCCCACTTACATTAACACAGAAGCTGCTTCTGTAGAGTCTGCACTATTTTAAAAAGCATCTCCTGTAACTACTGCAAATAATTCCAGCATTTTTTGTGTAGTAAAAGGTCCTAATTTTGATAATATAGACTCAAGCTCTTACTCAAGTTGTTTCTAAACTTTCCTTCATTTTCTGCACCACACTTGGCGCTAGATGTGCCTGCACAGTCCATGTACATTTACTGCTCTTCTCTTTAGAGCAGGTAATCAGGTTCACAGAAGTCAAGAATGAAGAGAAGTTTTGTTCTGCAATGAATTCAAGACACACACAGAGCACAGAGCTTACAACCTCCACAACACACGGCCTGGCCAGCAGAACCTTCACCTTTCCTTCTCCTGGTACATACACATTCATGCAATGAGAGAACAATACATCAAACGACTTTACCTCGCAATAACAAGATCTCTATGGTTTTGCTTGGAAGACAAAACAGTTGTTAAAACCAAAAGCAAACCCCATCACACCACCACCAAAACAACAGAGTGAATTTAATAGCAAACAGGAAAACTTATTTTTTCACTATACCTCTTCAATGCCAGCAATGTTATTTACTGCCAGTTTTTTGAGGGAACTTTGAAGTTTTTTGTCATCAGCTGTAGCTGTTCTGTGCACCACCTTCTTCTTTCTGCGAGCTGTTCCCTGGGAAGGATCAAGAAACAGTCAGCTCTGCTCAAAACCTCTCAGCACTAATTGCAAAAGTCAGGCCACAGTCTGAGCAACATCGCATAACTTGAAAGTTATGAGACATTTCTGTAGACAAAAATGCATCTCAACTTATTTCCCTTTACCTACAGCTCTGGCCATCATTCACAATTTAGAGTTATTTCTTAAGCATAAAAGAAAAGAAATACCAAACAGCAGCATGTTTTCCCTTCCACCAACCCAGACTACAAAAATACTACTTAATATTAAGCAACACATAACAAAGTGTCCCCAAGATATTTTTTCCAAAACAAAGCACTAATACAGTGATTTAAATGGTCCCACTTTGGCAACCAAGTAATTAACACTTTCAGCATGTTCCACAGACAGCAATTTTGGAATTCCTGCTTTGCAAACTTTTGTACAATCATCCCTACAATAGTGGATGAGCGGCCACACTGAACAAATATGCCTTTTTATTGGTGACATTAACTACCCACTAGCTCAGAGAAAAGCAACAGCTCAGTATACAGCCAGTGCCTGAATCAGACACCAAGAAAAAAATCCCCAACAGGGAGACCAGGAAGGCAGAACTGGAACACCCAACAGGTGAGCTTAGCTGGAGCTTTCACAGGTCACAAGAAGTCATTGAATTAAAACAATGCTTGCACACTGACAACTGCTCATCCAGCAGTTGTGAACTGAAAGAAACTTGCATTTCAAGTAGCTGCACTATAGGCCAGATCACACAAAACCTGTATTGGTCAAGCCTGAGAATAATTTTTTTCTTCCCTTTCTATGAACTTCAGCCTATGTTTTCAAAAGCACCCCGGTGGTTTTCTTACCTTTCCTCCTATTCGGACCTGCGCCTGAAGCTTGGCCAGTTTTTCTTGGTTCATAGTGCTACGTCTAAAGAGCAAAAACAAGTTCAACTTAACCTTCGAAACAGTAACAAAAAAAAAGAGAGCACTCTTAGAATTGCAGTGGATTTAGAATTTTCAGAGCACTCTTAGAACTCCAGAGGATTTTTCAAACTTCTAGAATATCCCCCAAAACAATGTGTTAAACGAACACACATAAACAGAGCTTTAAAGCCACACCACCTAAGCAATCCATAGTGGTCCTGTAGTAGGAAGGACCCGCCTTTAGCTGAAGTGTCTGTACCACGATGAAGCAACTCGACAGGACATTTCATTCTGCATCAGGCCGAGGTACTCATTTCCAGGATGCCAGTTTACTGCTGGAAGTATTTAACCGAATTACTGACTCCAACCAGACCCAAACCAGCACACACACGACAACTGGGTCTGGGAAACCACCCTTATCTTTGTAAGGGCCCAGGGACAGATTCATCACTGAATTACCTGGAATAGTATTTATATAATGAATCTATGATACCTGTGACTAATAAGCGAGATCTAAACTCTCTGAAGTTCATACATGGGCTTATTTATTACATGAACTTCTGGTAGCTCTTCATCCAATCCTGGGATGACTTTTTCACGTAAGTGACTGGGAAGTTAGTCCAGTGCTTCTCCCGCGGGTCAGATGGGACCTTTAAAGACTGAAAGCCCTGAAAATCTATAATGGGTGAAAAAAAAGCCTCAAGCCTTCCACCAAAAGAAATGCGTTTCGCTGCTCTGCCCCAGCGAACCATCAGTGTATGATGGGGAAATGTCCGTATGTGCTTTGTGCCGGGAACGATCGTGAGACGCGCGGGAGCGAGGCACGGATCGGCGCACAGAGACCCCGAGGGGCGGCGGGAGAAGGGGCACAGGGTGGCTCGGTGGGCAGCCCCAGAGCACGGCGAGCGGGAGGGGAACACGGCTCATCCCTCAAGGGTCCGCGTAGCCGCGGTCCCACGGGAGCACCGCGGCCCCGCGAGCCAGGGCAGCCCCCGCACAAGGGGGTCGTTCGCTCGGCCTTTCCACGGGGAATGGCCCAGCATGGCCCAAGGGGATAGGACCACGCTGCCACGGCACCCCGCCCACCTCAGGCCGGCCGGGACACGGCGATACCAGGACACGGAGACACCGAGACACGGGAACAGCGAACCCCCTCACCTGAACGCGGCGGAGCCCCTGCTACCAACACGCGGCGAGAACAAGATGGCGGCCGAGGAAGGAAAGAGAGGCGCACAGAGAAAGGAAGCGCCGCGCCACGTGACGGCGCCAGCCCGCCCGCGGATTGGTGGACCCGCCCACCTAATTTACATAGAGGCGGGGCAGGGAGCGCAAAGCGCTCCTGGGAGTTGTAGTCTCCAGAGAACAGCAGTTGACCGTGTCAGGGAGCGGTGTCCTGTGACCCAAACCCGGGACGCGGCTCTTCTAAACGCGTTACCACTGGCTCTGTCCTCCCTAGTGAACCCTCCCTCCCACGCTGCGCTTGTGGTCGGTTTTGCCTTCCCAACAGCTGGGCAACTCTAGAGAGCAGCGCGACAAAAGGGTTTATTTTGGAAAGAGAAAATAAATCCGGAACTACCACCTCCCTCCCACCGCTGCCTGCCCCCGTCGGGATAACGCTGGGATTTGCCCAGGGGGAGTAGACAGGGCTCTGGGGCCCCGGTGCGATGACTTTGCCCCGGGGATCCCGGTTCCCTGTAAGAAGCTGAGCTCATCCCGAGCCCCCTACACCTTCCCGCCGGGTGCCTCCTCCGGCACCCCCGGGCCGAGCCGTGAGGGCGGTGCACCGCCCACATCCGCCACACATCACTTCCTGAGCTTTAAAAAACGGGGAAAAAAAAAAAGAGGAAAAAAAAATCCAGATAAGCGGGTCTTGTCGTGTCCGGAGGTTCGGGGCCGTACCCGGGTGTCGTCGCTGCCCGCGCCGACACCATGAAGGCTCAGCCCGCGGCTGCCTCCGTCCTCTGCCTGTGCCTGGTGCTGGCGGCCTGCGCCGCCTCCGCCGCGGGAGGGCTCGGAAAGGGTCAGACAAAAACGCTTTCTTCGGGCTTTCCCCAACTTCTGTCCCCACTCGGGGCGGGTCCAGTCCCCTTAGCCCGCGGGGGCCTCCGGGCGGGGACAAAGCGCAGCTTCGGGGTCTGGAGGCGCGGGTGGCTGTGCGGGGGCTCCGCTGTAGTGGTTCGGTTCTGGCTGAAGCCTTTCTGAGGGGCTCCCTGGGGGAGCAGCCCCTCGGTGCCCCCGTGCCTGCCCAGCCTGGGCCGGGCTCCTGGCAGGCGATGAATGGCTCTTCCCCCCGCCCTCGCCTTCCCTTGCCCTTCGTGACCGCTCCTCACCTCGCTCTCGGCTTGCCCAGGCTCTTTGTCTAATTACCGTGTCTAATAGCCGGGTTCACCCGGGGCCTGAGCTTCACCTCAGGTGGTGGCTTTGCCGTACAGGTAAATCTCCTCCTCAAGGCTGGTGGTAACCAATTTGATCAATGACAGCAGAGCTGTGGTGTGGATCCCAGCCAGCCATTCCCCAGATGACTTTCATTCAAAAGATGCACTCTGTAATGTGTTGGGCAATGCTTTTAAAAACACACCGAAGCTCACCACAAAGTGGGGTTTGTTTTAAATATAGAAAAGCTTCTGAAAAGTGTTTCCCAGCTAGAACAATAGAAGGTTTTCCCTGTTTTAACATTTTGGCCTTTGACTGAAATAGCTGACGTGTCAATATTCTGTGTAAACGTGCCTTGTGCTAATCCAGCTGTGTTTTGCCCTGGGACGCTGAGCTCGTACAAAGGTAGCCCTGTGTTCGAGGCTGCCTCAGCAGCTGCTGTGTGGGTGTGAGGGGACAGGGACAGGCATCCCCACCCTGCTGTCAGCTCATCTGTTTGATGTGTTGCATCACTTGCGTTCACAGTTGCTCATATCAGCAGAGATCAGCTAACACAAACACTGTGCCACTGTCCTCACCTCCCGGATGCTGAACTGAGGTGTCCTTGCTAACGCTGTTTCAGGCTTTCTCCAAGCTTCTTTGCTATAGTTGTCTACTGGAGACAATATCCACATTCCCCTGTGGCTCTGTGTAGCTCCCAAAATCTGCTCCCCTCTCCACCTCGGGTTCCTGACTAATCCAAACCCTTAGGGGTGGGAAGGGGCAAGGTGAGGCTCATGTTTGGCCATCCAGCACCGTAATTGTTAATTACTGGAACCAAGACCTCTGAGAGTTCCTCTTTGTACAGCTCCTGGATCTCCTTCATCTAAGCTCTCCCGGTGGCTTTTGGCCACTGCTGTGTTGGCTGCTAAAAAAGCCCAGCCCTGGCAGTCGCTGCTTTGCAGCTGTTAAACACACACTGACTCACCCTTAAGTCAATTGACATAACAAGACTTGTTATCTGGATGACAGATAAAAATCTTCCTGCGTCGTTCAGTCACTGTAACACTCAGAAATTTGTGTAATCCTGTTCTTTCTTGCTCTTCCATGATATTATCATCAGCAGGAATACTTAGCATGATAGCTTTAGAGCAATTAATGATCATATGTTGGCCTAGAAATTTTTAAGTTTCAGTTTAGTTCACCTTCAGTGGATTTAGGAAGCCAAATGCTGACATGTTTAATTTGTCATTCATCAGATAATAAATGTCCACAGATTGAAAAAGAACAGAGAATAATCAGAAGGCACTTCAGTTTTAATATCTGTTTGAGGAATTTGAGTGTCATTTACATATATATATATAGAAATATTCATGAGCATGGTACATTTTTGTTAATTAATTTCAATGGGATTCCTCATACGACTGTGTGGGCTGTAAGTATTTGCAAAATTCTTTCCTGAAGTGGGGCTATAGTTGGCTTTAAATAAGAATATAAAATGAGTTGAAAATATTCTCGAGGGTTGGGCTGTTTTCCTCTGTTAGCTGACATGTTAAATTATGCAGCATTTATAAACCCTTCTCTCTGGCAGGTTTTGGAGATCATATTCATTGGAGAACACTAGAAGATGGGAAGAAAGAGGCAGCAGCCAGGTATGTTTGTTAGTTTTAAATACAGAAATGTGTCTTCAGAAAAGGTTCTATTTCAGCCCTAAATTTAACCATAGAAAAGAGTCTCTATTAACAAAAATGAAGGTGGTTTAGCTTCTTAGACTCTTCAGATCCCTACAGCTTATTGGAGAGAAAATACAGAATTTTATTAACTTTGCTAAGGCACCACCTAGGTTTAATCACTGCAGTCTAATTAAATTATTTAAGTCCTAGCATGTCTTTGAGACAAGAAAATAATTATTTATCACAGTAAAAAAAAAAAATGGTTCTGAAACACACAAGTGCAAGTGTAAGTGGTGCTCAATGCCCTTAAACTCAGCAGTGTTAAGAGCTTCCCTAAAATTCCCTGTGCCTGTATAGATGAGGCCCCAGCATGAGGTATTTTGTTTCCATCTGCAGCAAAAATCTGGAAGTTTCAAACTGTAGTGAACTGACAGAACCTGGTTTGGGCGAGGCTAAAATTCTAAAAAGAACACTGTCTCTATGAAAAATGACATCTTGATTTTTTTTTCCCTCAAAGTTTCTTCTGCTTCTTGTTAAAATGCAAGAAGGATAATGGCATGCTTATAAATTCTACTTGTATTTTAACTTTGTAACCTAGATCTGACAATGCTGACATGAGCAGAAATTGCTCGTGCCTTCCAGGTTTGCTGTTTAATTTAGCTCTGCTCACAAACTGATCCATCTGGCAAGTTTTACACTCCAGTGTAGACATTGAATTAACCCAGATGGTACACTTCAGAAGTCTTACAAGTTTTTATAACTTGATACTTTAGCATTTTTGAACAAAAAAAAAAAAAGTAGATTATTTCACTATTTGCAGTTACAATTGTAGCATTGCTTTGCAATGCAGCAGAGGAACCTTTAAAATGAGACAGAAGGGGGTGGGAGGGATAACAAGGTCTGAGCTCTCGGGTTTAGGGAGGATTAGTGTTCCTGCTCAGAAAGACCCTGGGTGTGAACCACACTCTCCTTTCATTGCTGATGCACTGATCTGCTGGCAAAAGTACAATTTTTTTTCTGACCATAAATCAGCAGATGAAAAATTACACAAAATTAGCTGGGGTGCATCAAATGAGATGCACCAGAGCCGGTGATCTAGGAAGTTTCAAACCTTCGGTTCTGTAAACTGCACAATGTCGTGGGATGCTGAGGACTTCTCAGTTTAAATTCCCTGCGGGCGAGGGCGCGGTGCCTTCGTTCCAGCAGCTGCTGCGATTTTAAGCGTTTTTAAGCGGGACCCCTCGCAGTACAGTGTCGCGGTGCCAGGGCCGTGCTGGGGCGCGGCGATTCTCTGAGCCCGTGGGGAGGAGGAGCGCGCCGGGGGCTCCGCGGGGCCGGGCCGAGCTCTGGGCGTGTGTGACCGGCGGAAGCAGCCGCTCCACGTCCGGGTCGGGTGTCGCTGGCGGGGCGATGCCGCTGGTGGTGCTGTGCGGGCGGCCGGGCAGCGGCAAGAGCCGGCGGGCGGCCGAGCTGCGGGAGGCGCTGGGCGGCCCGGAGCGGCCGGCGCACGTCGTGACCGAGGCGGAGGGCGGCCGTTCGGCGCTGCGGGCCGAGGTGGAGCGGCGGCTGAACCGGCGGGACGTGGTGATCGTGGACGCGGGCAACGAGCTGCGGAGCATCCGCTACGAGCTGTACTGCGCGGCGCGGCAGGCGGGCACGGCGCGCTGCGTCCTGCACTGCGCCGGCGGCGCGGGCGGCCCCGACGAGCCGCCCTTCGAGGAGCCCGAGCCGAGCTGCCGCTGGGACCGGCCGCTGTTCACGGTGCGCGGGGAGGAGGCGCTGCCGCTGGGCGCCATCCGCGCCGCGCTGTTCGAGAGCGCCCCGCCGCCGCCGCACCGCGCCACCCGCACGCAGCCGCTGCAGTCCTGCGGCTTCCTGCACCAGCTGGACCGCGTCACCCAGGACGTGCTGGCCGCCGTGCTGGCCGCGCAGAGGAGCGGGGCGCAGCCCGGCGAGACCGTCCACGTCCCCGGCGTGGCCGAGGGGCTGGTGCTGAGCCGGCCCGTGACCGTGGCCGAGCTGAGCCGGCTGCGGAGGCAGTTCATCAGCTACACCAAGATGCAGCCCAGCGATGAAAACCTGCCGCAGCTGGCCAGCATGTTCGTGCAGTACCTGAGCCGCAGCATCCAGTGAAGTGTCACCTGTGCCACCCAGCAGTGGCCGTGGTCCGGCCCCGAAGTACTCGAAGCGGGAAGAATGTGCCTTGAGGCACAGACCCTGCGGGTCCCGCCTGTCGGGGATGGGAGCACTCGGCAGCAGCAGCTCTGAGAAGGTGGCACCGTGTCCCTGCAGCAGCCGAGCCAGCTGCATTGCTGGGGGGATCTCTAGGGAAGCAGTTCCTCACCCCTGTGTTCTCCCCACTGGCATCTTGCAAAAAGGAGAGCTACTGCTGCATCCCCAAGCAAGAGAAGTCTCCTGTGGAGACTCCTTTGGACTCAGTAATCAAATAGTGTGGCATGAAAGTGCAAAAGGTGATGACTGTAGGGAAAACTTTTCCCTCCACATTGGAATAAGAAGATTGTTTTTCCAGAGCTGTCTCCAGATAATGTCAAACTACAGAAGAGACTTCAGGTCCAGAACTAGAACAGGGTGTATTTTTAGGATGTGACTGTTTCAAAAAATCTGACTGAGCCCAAAAGAGATCTTCAACTCTGCACTGCAAAAGGGTGCTGACTTAACAAACTCAAGCTTCTGTTTCAGGTCTAATAATAAAATGTGTGCCTTAAATGGAGTAAAGTCTTAATTTACCTGCAGGACTATTTTACTGAAATAACTTGGCCATGTCTTTTCTTCAAGGTCATCATTATATACCCTTAAAAACACAAAGTGCATAAGAATGAGTGCTGTCATAGGAAATATGAGCTAAAATGACAGTATCTGTTCTGTGTGAAACTTAGAAGTCTGTACTGGCTGTGATGGGTAGCTAAGTTTCCAATAATTTTGGGTACAGCTTATATAAACTTCTCACTTTCTGGTGGACGCTTCATTCTTCGTTCTAATAAATGGTGGCTTTTGGTTTTAATTTTATGTGTAGTGCTCACTGGGATGAACTGCTGAAGTGGGGCAGGAGGGGTTACTTCAGTTACAGTGTCTGTCTGACACACCAACTGCTAAGGGGCTTCATGCACTGCAGAACTGAGAAATTACTATAAAAATGTTTTTATGTAAGTAAGTTTATTTTACCAGTCGAAGCAAAGAGAACAAAGCTGAGAAAACACATAAATTAGGTCAAACCTCTGTGAGTTCTCATTGAGTAAGAGTTGGTATTTCAAGGATGTGAGCACTTCCATTTAAAATCTGCTTTTAAAATTTCTCTTTAAAAAGTGTGTGGCGGTACTGAGCGCCAGATGATTGAACTCTTTCAACATGAATCGCTTATCCTTGATGATAAGAACAATCTTAAACCCAGTCTTATTCAGCCTTTCCTCAAGCAAGAAGCAAAATAATTTTGGACTCTCTATAGAAACATTGAAAATAAGTGGTTTTTCGTCATCAGGGAGAGGGCACTGACATGATGCAAGCTTTACTAGGGAAATGTGTGGTTTTGCTCCTTACTGCAAACAGATACAAAGTTGATGACTTATCAGTTAATTATAGATGGCAAACTTGTGTTTGAACAATTCTAAATGTTAATGGCTTCCTTTGCACCCTTTCCTCTTTCTAAAGTTCATAACTGAGCACTGTTAAGTAGAGATTTCTTTTCATACCTATTTACAGCTAAAGAAAAACTCATACATCAGTTCTGCTAGTAATTAGTGTTGTTGTGTGCAAAGGCGTTAATAATTCATGTGTATGAAAATTTGACTTTATTTTTACCCCCTAATATGGTGCAGAGTTTACAGTCAGAGAAAGCTTACAGTTTGCTTTGCTTGGCAGATCCTGAGAGAAGTATCCATATAGGATGTTCTCTCCAGGTTCCTTCCTCTCCTTCACTTAGTTTTAGGCTGTTCTTACTATTCTGGAAGCCATATCATTATGATATGGAAACTTAACCTCTGGGTAGCATAGCTAATAAAGGTAAAATGAATTATTTGGAAAGAAGGAAAGCAAAAATAACTTTGGTCCTTTTGTGTTGCTTATTTAGGCTGCAGTTGCTCACAGACCCCCTCTTAGCCCTGGTACTGGACACATCCATCACAATTAGTTTCAGCATACAAATGTGTAGGAAGCCAGGCAGGCTGCCAAAGGGTTTGCTGGGTTATTGGCTTTGCTGGGTGCTCAGTGGAGGGCCTTAGTCACAAGAGGTGACTGAGACATGTGGGCTGTAATGGGGAGAGATTGTCACCCACTGGATTGCCTTAAGCAGCCATGAAAATCCATCCTGAGATCTCTCAAGCAGCTGCTGTCATTAACCATTTCCAGTAATCCAGGAAAAAAAAGCATGAACAATTGTGTATCTGAGAAATGTAAACTAAGAAGAGAAAGTCTCTTCCTCTACACAAGCAGTTATTGGCTGGCAGCTATAGTAAATTTTTATCACATGTTTTAAGACTGGGATAACTTTTTGCAAGAACAGTCTTAGAGCACCACATAATCTCTTTACATCTGATTTATTTCCCATTACATTTAGCCTTTGAGGAAGGCTTGACTGTTAAACTGTAGATGTAATAGAATTTCTTTGACAATTTTATTTCTTCTTTTTGTTAGTGGTTTGCCTCTTATGGTTATCATCCACAAGTCCTGGTGTGGAGCTTGCAAAGGTAAGTGCATTTAATACTAGAGCTTGCTGAAATTTCTAATTAACCTTTGCATAGAAATCATGTAGCAATGAGAAATGTGAAGTTTGCATCCAAAATGTAACTAATGGTATTTGTATTTCTTTGAGAGTGGTGTAATATGGCAGTCCCATAGCAAACAAACAAGCTGAGTGTATGGCTAAGCCTTAAAGGATGAGGCAGTTGAGTGGGAGTGATGGTTCACAGCAGGATTTCTGCTCCTCTTGTACTGAATCAAATATAACCTCCTATGTTTGCTGGGCAGGCTTCAGCCCATGGCTGCCAAGCAAGAATTTCTTCAAGTGCCTCCTGTTCCACGTCTGGCTGGAAGGGTTGGCTACATATATTCCATTTACTCACTGCTTATTGAAAAGTGCCACCTCTGCAGAGGGAGGGATGGAGATTTTGATATTGACCTGAAAATCTGAAATACTTTCCACTGTTTTTACATACCTCTTATTTTTATTTTTTAAATTTAGCTTTAAAGCCAAAGTTTGCTGAATCCAAGGAGATCTCTGAACTTGCCCATAATTTTGTTATGGTCAACCTTGAGGTAGGCTGTCTTCTGCTCTGTATCCATGTTCTGCCTAGTAATGAAGCATTTGAAATCTGACTCAACTGATTGCACCCTGTTTTGTGTACATCCTAAATCCTGCACTCCTGACTAGGCATTCAGGATTGATTGATAGAGCTCATTGTTTTAAAAAATACTTTTTTCTAGTGTGGTTATTTTAATTGTACTTATAAACCTGGCTCTCTGCCATTGTCTCTTTAACAGTTTGTACCTTGTGTGAATCAGTTTCCACAAGAAAGGAATTTATGTTCATTCTCTCAGTATGTATCAAACATTCCTATACCAGAGTGGAGTGGGTAATGCAAATTGACAGACCAGAAAAAATATTATTGTTTTCACAAATTATACGTAGGTAGGTAAAAACAACTTTCTTCCCTTTGAGTGTGGAGGATACTGCAGTTACTTAGGGTCTGTTCAAGAGGCAAATTGCTCAGGGTAGAAGGAATCAGAAGGCAATTACTTGTTTCTGTAAAAGGCACCATGTTTTGTTAGATGTCTTGCTAATATCTTTCCTCTCCCCTGCCTTGCTGTGATAGGATGATGAAGAGCCAAAGGATGAAGCCTTTAGTCCTGATGGAGGTTACATTCCCAGAATCCTCTTCATGGGTAAGGCATCCACAGCTGTTGTGTCCTTTCACTGGGTTCTTACTGTTTCCACCTAAATTTCCTGTTGGATTTCTTGTTTCATAGACCCCAGTGGAAAAGTCCATCCAGAAATCATAAATGAGAGAGGAAACCCCAGCTACAAGTATTTCTATACCAATGCTGATCAAGGTATGTGCCAAGTTGTTTGAAGTGCATTTTTAGTGAGATGGAGCTTTGGCAGTGGAGAGAAATGATGTTAAAGTATAGCTGGGAGTGGTTAAATACAATGTGAGTGAGTGATTCTCTAATGCCCCAGGAACCATATTCAGAATCAGAATTCACCTTAATACCTACTAAAAGTGTAGGATCTAATTTTTTCTCCAGTTCTGGCATGGGAAGTCATGGAATTTGCATGATCCAGCCATGCATAGTTGGGAAAAGGGTGCAGGACTGTTGTTTGTTTTTGTTTTTTTCCTTACAGATTAATCTGTAGATCTACATTCTGTAACTGTGTTGTTTTAAAACACTTTCATTACCAGTTCATTTTGATATTTTCACGCTGAGATTAACAGTTGGTATTTCTGTGTAATCTTTCAGTTGTCCAAGGGATGAAAGAGGCCCAGGAGAAGCTGACAGGTGATGCTTTCAAAAAGCACCTGGGAGATGAACTATAATGAATACACTGAATGAGACCTTTTCATCGCTCCAAAACTGCGAGGAAATGATTAAACAGACCAAGAATGTAGATGCACTGAAGGGACATAATTCCCCTGTCCACAATGTTAGGTTAAACCCTGTTTGGAGTTCACACACACACACACACACACACACACACACACACACACAATAGTTACAGTGTTCTCTCTGCCTGGCAGTTTGCACTGTGGTGGTTCTTTACAACTGGGTAACATGCAAACACATCTCTTTGTGTGTTTGAGCAACCACTAATATTTGGTGTTAAAAGGGAGGTGTGTAGGGAAAATGGTATTTGAGGACAATGTGATAGGAAAAACTAGAAATAGCCATCAATTTGACACTAATCAGGGTTGAATCTCTCTTTTCTCACTGGTATTATGTGATCCCATCGTTTTTACTGGGCATTCCCATCACTGGGGCATGTTCCTGGGCCAGTTGTTTTCTAGATATTCAAAACCATGAATTCTGCCTCTACACCAAGTAGAATGCATTTCATGAATGTCCAAGTAGCATGTGAATTATCAGCTCTGCAAATGTATTTTTGTGTAAAACTGTGTGATTCATCTTTATTTGCCTTTGGGCAGAAATGTAACTTTTTTCCTTATGCACTCACCTTTTGATTGTTCCATCAAGTGAGGGTGGGTTATGTTGAAGCTTTACGGGGTTTCCCCTTTTATTCTTTGAATGTTTCTGGCGAATGCCTTGCCATCACATTGTACTGTATTTTTGTACCAGGGTGAAAAATTAAACCTTTTTAAACATAAGCATGCAGAGAGTGTTCTGTGGTTAAGGGCGTAGCTTTACATTCTTAAGCATGGGGGGATATTTTTTTGTGTTGCAGTGATTATTAATGTTGACTGTCACAGCTGAAGGTTTCTCCTTTTTATAATTAAGAGACATAATTTGTTTTTCCATACAATTACAATTCAGCCATTCTTACACTACCCACACTGTTGAAGGCAATGTGTTTATTTACTGGAACTGAAGAGAATAGCGGGGAGTAAAATCACCCCTCTTGACCAGTTGGGGACACTTTTTCTAATGCAGCCCAGCATACTGTGGGCTTTGTCACATGGGTGCATTGCTGGCTCATGATCAGCTTGTTCTCCACCTGGATTCTCACATTCTCCTGTGTCACAAAACAGATTTCCAGACTGTACTTGTGCACAGGTTGTTCCTCCTCAGTTGAGGGACTTTGGATTTCCCTTTCTTGAACCTCCTGACAACACTCTCTGCCCATTTCTCCAGCCTGTTGAGGTGGCAGCACAACCACTGTTACATGGATATCAGCTCCTCTGCCCAGCTTTGTATCATCTGCCAGTTTGCTCAGAGTTAGGTGTTAAAAAGTACCAACCAAGGGTACTCCACTAGTGATGAGCCTCCTTCAAGCCAGCTGTTCTGCTTTCCATCCATTTCACTGCCCATTTATTTAGGCTGTACTTCATCAGTTTGTCTATGGGGATGCTTTGGGAGACAGTGTTGAAAGCCATAGTAAAGCTAAAATAAACACCACCTACTGCTCTCTCCTCAGCCACCAAATTAGTCATCTCTAGCAAAAATTCTTGTCCAAAAGACACTTGCCATAACCTCCCATAACAAAGAAGGAGATCATTTTCTACAGATACTTAATTGAAGAGCCATCTGAGGACATTAGGAAGGGAAAATTGTTTATAATAATAAGATAACCCCATATAACAATATAACAATAAACTCAACTTGTCTACAGGATCCGTTTTTACTGTTCAGCAGCATTAGGAATTTTACTTTCCAGACCAGTCTGTCTAAGGAATTTTAAGCACCGAAACTCAACTGGGTACTAAAAGACAAGGACTCAATGGAATTAATGGGATTATTGCACATTGTGATTACCCTGCTCAGCTGCTAATAGTTACTCTGTAGGCTTTATCCTCTGCTTCTCTTGCAAATTGTCTAATAAATTAACAATGGAATTGAGCTCAGCAGCAACTCTCAAGTCATATCAACCTCAAAGTAAATCTATATAAGCCTTAGAAAAGGGTTTGTGTTGTGCAAAATACTCTTTTTTTCCCCAGCTCTGTCAGTTGATCAAATAAAAAATAGTTCCTATCTGATGCTCATTTTATTTAGAGCTTTAGATTGACGTGACTAAAAAATCATTGCTTTGGCTTTTTTACTTACCACCAGGGGGAGGACTCTGCGTGTTCATCTGGGAGAGGATTCAACAAAACATAATTAAAAAATAATCTCTAATGCAAATTAGCAGGGTGCACCTCTGTGGGTTTCCATGCACGGTTTTGCAGCTCTGCCCTGCTCTTACCTCTGCAGTGAAGATGCAGCCTGTGGGATGTACATCAAGTGTGCCTTTCTTTGCAAAATGCTCTGATGCCTGAAGCAATGTGGCCTCTAAGTAATTTTCAGAAAGTTCTTCATCCACAGACATCTCCCTTCAGTGACTGGTATGGGCAATGTGCTTCATCCTTTACATTAAGACCATTCTGATGCAAAATTATCCTCCTTCATATCTTCTCTCATGCATCTCCTCTCCTTAGCACTTCTAGATGTAGTACTTTGGAAGGAAAAATTTCTTTCATGGCCCTTCTTCCTTTGTTCTTCAGCTGCCTCCTTTCTCTCTAATCCTTTCTACCTTCTGTATGTTCAGACACAGTGAGCTGGTACAGCTTCCCCACCCTCTCTTCCATTTGCTCTTTTCTAGACCATGTCTTTGTCCTCTATAGTAGGATGGAGCTTGGCACTTGCTGGCCTGCTTGGTGTCTAGCTGAGGTCTTAGTAGAATATGATTTGTGTCCTGTCACAGCTTGATTTCTAGGGACCTTGGTTAACTTGTGTAAAAGCTGTCTCACATCTCTGGATTGCAGGGTGAACCTACTTTTAATCTGTCACTTAAGTATTTTTCTCTTTCCTACCCATTAGTTTAATACCTGGACATTTTTGTTGCTATCTCCTACTGCAGATTCTTTACATCCTTCTTCTTTATAATCTTGATAAGGTGTTACATATGGTTGGCATTTTCTTCTGTGCAGAGGGATCCACCCAGCAGTTGATTTTTGTATGTTGTGTGACTTTATGCACACAAGCAAGTCCCCAGGGCTTAGAGAAGCTGTTTGCAGGTCAGTGTTTCTTGTAGCTGTGTTTGAAGATAATGATACACTGCAGCACTGCTCAGTACCCAAGGCCTTAGATTAATTTGCCTCTCAGCTTTGCTTCTTGTGCTGCCCATCTGTGTATGACTTGCTGTAACTTACATGATCACTTCTTTAGATGCATCTAGAAATCCCCTTGGATTCTCAGCTTCTCCTCCTTCTATGGTGATAAAAAACCCAAAGACACTCCAAAATTCTTAGTACAGACCCAGAGAACTGCCAGGCTGAATTAATCTCATGTAAACAAACATGCTGTCAATTCCCTTTCTTCCAGAAACAACCTACAGAGGAAAAAAACCCCAAAGTTAATTAGAGAGTGCCTGGATTGCAGCTCCCATCTGGCTGCCTGGGAGCAGAGGTTGTTTGTGCACCTGAGGCTGGACAGGCTTTAAGGAAGTGTCAGCTGGAGACTCGGGAAACCTTTCCTTTGCCATGTTTAGCAGCAGGGAACAAAACTGCAACAACCAAGAATGCCTGCATGGCCAGAGTGTCCCATCTGTCATCTTGGCATGCTGAGTTTAGGAGTCATCTACTTCAAGCACACTTTTGTCCCTGTGGCTGTCTGCTTGCCACCGTGTCTGGCCTGTATCAAACTGCTAATGAGCTTCATTTCACTCAGCGCTCGCTTAGAGCTCCTGTAATGAATAGCTCTGAAGTGAAATATTATTAAACCCCTATGAATATGAGGTCATATATCGTTGGAGGTGATGAAACTTCTCTTTTGGCAAGAGGAGAGGTATTTGCATTTAGGTTATGCTGTGATATTTATTTGCAGCTGACCTGGTATTATGCCTGCTTGGCTTTGCCCAGCCAGGAGAGCCACTCCGGGGCTATTCCTTGACAACCGTCGCTATAGGTGGATCTAAACTTGAGGTGTGAGGATGGAGATTCAGAAAGCAATAAAGATGGAATTACTGTGAACAGAGCTCTCTCCAGAGAGTGGGATGAAGAGGGGAAGTCACTGCAAATCCATGCCCATTCCAAAGACAGCAAAGCCAAAGATGAAGTTTCTGTTAAAGGTTGCATCCCCTTTCGAGACAGCTGTGTAAGTTGTCTTTGGCACTGACTGGAGAGGGAAGGTTGCTGCCTGGAGGGAACCAGGAAACACTAATGAAGGTCTGTCTAAATATTAAATAAAAGTCACTTTGTCTCAAAACTATTTAGTGTATTAACCCATTCCCACTTTCCTCCTCGAAGAAACAGGTGCTGATTTGTTAAGCAGTTAGTCAAATAATCTCAGTTTGCTTTTCCTCTCAAAGTTTGTCTAGAGCAAGGTGTGGCTGTGCACAGTTCCCAGGCCTGCCATTGTCCAGGGAGAAGCACTCCTGCCATGGCAGGGCCAGCCCGGTGCCACCACGTCAGCACAATCTGAGGAGGAGGAATCTTCACTGACAAGTGCCAGCCAGCCCCTGTGACCTGTCACAGGCAGTGGGAACAGCAACCAAAGCTTGAGTGATCGATCCTCTCCAAGCTGTGAAAAATGTCATGGCACCGTTTTGTGATGGTGAAATATGCAGTAAGTTCCTTAAATTATGGACAAAAAAAACCAAATAGAGACCCCACCACTGTGCTGGAAGCAGGGACTGGCTGACCTGTGCTTACAGCATTCCAGGTTCTGACTCAGAACAGTGAGAGAGGCTGTCACACACCAGCCCGTGCTGGCTCTCATCCCAGCACAGGCCACAGGCAGCAGAAAAGTGCAGGGTTCAGCCAGGATGTGGGAGCAGGCGGGACAGGGGGAACAGGCAGGATAGGGGGAGCTGGCAGGATTTGGGAAGCAGGCAGGGTACGACCTGGACATGGGATCTCAAGTGGGTGGGTGCTGCCCCCATGTTCTGTTTTCCTCCAGCCAACACAGGAATCTCCTCCTCCATTCCCATGTCTCTGCTGTGATGTGGAGAGTGAAGGGGAACCAACTTCCTAGAGTTTCCACCCTCTCAAAAAGTCATGATCCCATTGTTAGCGCTCCAAGTGAGGGCAAG